CCGGGACTTAAAGGAGACCTATCATTCAAACTACCACAACATGTAAGAAGCTGGAGAAATGACTGACCAGGCAAGAGCACTTACTCAAGAACCATGAGGACCAGTTTGAAGTCCAGCTCCCACATGAAAAGCTGGGCATAGCCTTACACCTGCCTGCTGCAGGATATTTGATCCCATTGTGAACCCCAAAACTGTGAACTGTAAAACACTGTTTCTTGTTTAGTGGGGTTGAGCCCTAACACCCACCTTTACTCCAAGAACTTTCTGGTTTATTGTAAACAGATGATTACGGTGTGGCTCACCCAGCCCTAGCACACACCTTTAATCCATGAGCTTTCTGTACATGGGATCTAATAAAGTTAACCCTAGGTCAAGAGGCAGAGCAAGAAACCAGCTTACAAGGAGTAAGTAGGAGAGACTTTGAGTTGAGGGATGGTAAAGACAGCACAGAGAAGAAAGGGCTTTTAGCTCAAGCTCCGGTTTTAGCTTAGGCTTCAGCTCCTCAGCTCCCTGGCTTTTGGGCTTTGAGCTAGCAAGCCGTTGGTCTTGGGGGTTTTTTTGGGCTTTTCTTCCTGCGCTGTCAGCTGAGCTAGTGAGCATTTTGGGTTTTTTCCCTGCGGACCTGAGCCAAGAAGGAAGGTCAGCTGGGTGCTCTCTCTGCCTCTCTCAGCTGGCAGGTTTTCACCCCAGCATCCGGCTCCAGAGTCTTTATTGGTAAAACAGAATGGCTGGCATTTTCACTCATCTATAACAACACTTGTCTGCTCGCCTCTCCCTAGAAAGTCAGGGGAGAATAGAATTCTGGGGCCTGCTAGATGCCCAGCCTAGCTTCGGGTTCAGTGACAGACCCTGACTGAAAAAGAATGAGCAGAGAGTGATAAAGCCAACACCGGACACCCAACATTTCCCTCCAATCTTTCCAAGCACACCCACAGGCACACAGAGCACACACATGTATACACACAGCTACACACAGACACATATGTACACACAGCGGCGCACACATATGCGCGCTCACTCAAACGCACCCCCACACAGATACAAATTTAAAAGAAAGAATGTGAAATGGAAGCACATGCCTGTGCTGTATATAAATGCTGCTTGTCATATTTGTATTCACAAGAAGATGGTACAGTGGCGCTGGGGAGTTAAGAGTACATGCTGCTCTTGCAGAGGACCTGAGTTCAGTTCCCAGCAACTATATCCATCAGTTCACAACTACCTGCAACTCCAATTCATTGAGGATCTGGCGCCCTCTTATGGCCTCCTTGGGCACGTGCACTCACAAGCACAAATTCACACAGACACCCACAAACACACATCATTAAAATTAAGGTAAGTCGATAGGCGGTGGTGGAACACACCTTTGATCCCAGCACTTGGGAGGCAGAGGCAGAGGAAGATTTCTGAGTTCAAGGCCAGCCTGGTCTACAGAGTGAGTTCCAGGACAGCCAGGGCTACACAGAGAAACCCTGTCCCAAAAAACAAAACAAAACAAAAAAATATTGAAATAAATGTAGAAGCTGGAAAGATGCCTTGAGCCAGGTTCACTTCCCAGCACTCACACAATGGCTCACAACTGTCTCTAACATGTGCATGCAGGCAAAACAATGGAACACATAAAATAAAATTTAAAGTTAAAAAGGTTAAATAAAAATAATTTTTTTAAAAGTAGGATTCAGAAACTTTAGTTTTACTTTAATATTTCTAATTTAATATCTGACCATGATAATGAATTGTCTTTACAATATGTATTTTATGTGAATATATAGGAACATGTATAAATATCCACATGATGTGATCCTTTTTTTCATGCCTTCTGAAAACTTCATTATTCAGTGTTTCCAAATTGTTGAGGCCTCCTTTAACTTTTTGAATAACTATAGCCCCTCTGTTGATTTTTAGCTTAACTGTTGCTCCTCTATGCTTTTAGTCTCAGTTTTTATCTTAAGGTGAAATTAAGTTCCAGTTTCAGGCTCTGCCTTCCTAACATAAGAATCGCCTTCAGCTTACAATTTCAATGCTTGCTGCTTAAAACAGAATAATGACAAAGATGATAAATATATGTTCTGCCTGAGTTAATGATGAATGTATGTTTCGCTTGAAATAAACTGCAATACCCTGCTATGTTCCCTTCTTACAGGAATGCCAGGGAACTGGAAAGTCCCCAAGCCCCCCAAGAGAGGGAACTGGAAAGTCCCCAAGTCCCCCTGCCCTATATCCCAGACAGTCAGCTTAAAGTTTAGCTTAAAATAAAAAATAAAAACCTTTCATCTTTTACCTTTTATATTTTAATATTATCTCAATTTATATCTCCATACCATTTTGAGTAAGTAAAAATAAGACTAAAACACTTAATGGGTATTATTCAACTCTCGCTTTAAAAAAAAAAAAAGATATTCTGTCTCAGGTTGGAGAGATGGTTCAGTGGTTAAGAGCACTGGCTGCTCTTCCAGAGGTCATGAGTTCAATTCCCAACAACCACATGGCAGCTCACAACCAGCTATAGTGAGATCTGGTGTCCTCTCCTGACATACAGGTGTACATGCAGACAGAACACTATATATATAATAAATCTTTTTCACTTTATTCTTTAAATTTATTTTTTTATTAATGACAGTTTATTCACTTTGTATCCCAACTGTAGCCCCCTCCCTCATCCCCTCCCAATCCCACCCTCCCTCCCTCTTCTCCACTCATGCCCCTCCCCCAGCCCACTGATAGAAGAGGTCCTTCTCCTCCTCTTCCATCTGATCCCAGTCTATCAGGTCTCATCAGAGGTGGCTGCGTGATCTTCCTCTGTGGCCTGGTAAGACTGAACCCTCCTCAAAGGGAGGTGATCAAGGAGCAGGCCAGAGTTCATGTCAGAGACAGTCCCTGTTCCCATAACTAGGGGAACCCACTTGGACACTGAGCTGCCATGGGCTACTTCTGTGCAGGGGTTCTAGGTTAGGTTCTTGGTTGGAATATCAGTCCCAGAAAAGATCCCTGTGCCCAGATTTTTTTTTCTCTCCTTGTGGAGCGCCTGTCCCATCCAAGAGGAATGGATACAGAAATTGTGGTACATTTACACAATGGAATACTATTCAGCAATTAAAAACAAGGAAATCATGAAATTTGCAGGCAAATGGTGAGAACTAGAAAAGATCATCCTGAATGAGGTATCCCAGAAGCAGAAAGACAGACGTGGTATATACTCACTTATAAGTGGATATTAGTCATATAATATAGGATAATCATACTAAACACTATACACCTAAAGAAGCTAATCAAGAAGGAGGACCCTGGGTAAGATGATTAATCCTCATTCAGAAAGGCAAGTGGGACAGATATTGGAAGAAGGAAAAAACAGGGAACAGGACAGGAGCCTATCACAGAGGGCTTCTGAAAGACTCTACCCAACAGGGTATCAAAGCAGATGCCAAGACTCATAGCCAATCTTTGGGCAGAGTACAGGGAATCTTATGAATAAATAAATCTTTCAAAAAATTTTTAAAAAGGTATTCTGTCTCAGACACCCCAAACTATTTGATTACAAAGAAAGGAGGCAAAGTCGTTTTTTGAATGAGTTGGTCAGTGGGACTAGAGCTTTGTCACAGACAAAGACACCTTTTTTTATGTATATATGGAAAAGAATGAGAGCGAGAAGTCTCTGTCTGTCTGTCTGTTTGAGTAGGTACCTCACTCTGTAGCTCCTCCTGCCTAGAACTTGTGATCTTCCTGCCTCGGCATCCCAAGTGCCTGTTTTACAGATGTGGGCCACCTGCTTGGTTGACAGGAAATGAGTCTTCGTCATCATGGAGCCCTGTAATCATCCAAGGCCTTGCTGACCTCTCACATCCCTCTTACTCTCTCCCAGAGGAGCAAATCCACACCCACTGCATGCTATCATGTTTCTATTTGTATGCAAAGTATGTTTTGTATTGCAGGGGTGTGTGTGTGTGTGTGTGTGTGTGTGTGTGTGTGTGTGTGTGTGTG